TCTTTCCCTTCATTACATCTGCTAATGGTGGCCCTATTTGTCTCTGGAATAGCAACCTTACATCAGGAAACAACCTTCTTGAGAGGTCTGCAAGTAAAGATCACCCTGGTAGATCTAGCAGGTCTAAGCATCTTCTCCAACACATCAACAACAGGAAGGGAGAGCAAGAACTCAATGGAGATGAGCTCTTTCCTGACAACCTCTAGCTCTTTACTCCTTGTTTCCTAATAATGAGAAGAAATGCTTACTATCCCATTAGAACAGTGGTCTTCAGTCTGTGGTCCACAGACGCCTGGGGGTCTGCAGATTGTGTCTAAGGACCTGCAAAAGATTACTTTGATCAATCAAAAGTGTGTGAATACTTACACTTCAGTACAAAGTGGTCCACTCCTCCATTCGAAATTTCTAAACAGGTCTGCATTTAAAAACATTTTTAGGGGTCCGCAAATGAAAAAAGATTGAAAAACCACTGCATAAGACCAAATCCATGTAAAGTAATGTAAGCTACTATACTGTCTTGAGGCCCTTGCCTGTCATGGTTGGAAATCCTTTGATTCAAGGATGATCTCTACCACAGCTCATTAATGGGTCCTGAGATGGCTTAAGAGTCCAATCCATAAGCTACAGATCAGTCTGGAGGAGTTGCAGAACTTTCCCCAGGGGAGAATAGGTTGCAGGCTGGGATTTCTGTCCTCTCCTTCATCCGCCTTCTCTTCTGCTTTGAAGGGAAGATGCTTTACCTCAAAACGGGCTTTTGCTTGTTTGAAGTTGTAATGCCATTGGAGTCAACTGGCAGCTAGCTCCTCCAAACTCTTGATGTCTGCATCTGTTTTCTTGAGAGATGCCTTCAATGTGTCTTTTTTTTTTTTTTTTGTAGCATTTCCTCTGGCCACTATGAGATCTCAGGCCCTTACTAAGCTGGGAGTGTAGCATTTGTTTGGGGAACCAAGTCGGGCATCTGCACACAATGTTTCATCTTCCAGTGATGTTGGGTGCTTGAGGATCACTGACTGAATGCTGGTAACGCTGGATTCAATAAGGATGCTGGCGTTTGTGTGGTGATCTTCCCATTTGATGTGCAGGATTTCCTGGAGGCATCATTGGTGACGCCTCTGTTGAGATTATAATAGTAGGTCACCCATGTTTCACATTCATAGAGGAGAGTGGGGATGATGACTGCACTGGCAGCCAAACTTTGGTAAGATCTTCCATAGAGTCTCACAGTTAAAGTCTAAGGCTTTGGTCAAATCAATAAAGGCCATGTACAGTTCCTGGTGTTGATCTTGGCACTTTTCCTGGATCTGTCAGGTTGCAAAGTTAATGTCCATGATGCCTCATAATGATCTGAAGCTGCATTAAGACTTAGGAAGAATTTCCTCAGCCAGAGGGAACAGTTGTTTCAGCAAAATTTGAGTAAGGATCTTCCCAGCAGTGGAAAGGAGGCAGTGCTTTGATAGTTGCTACAGTCAGAGTCATCTCCCTTCTTAAAAATGGTGATAACATTGGCATTTTGTAGGTCAGCAGGACTTCCTTCAGTGATTCCAGATTTTTAGAAACTGTGTGGTATTTGCTAGTCATAGTTTCCCTGCCTACTTTGAAGACCTCAGCTGGCATATGCCATCAGGGCCAGATGCTTTGTTCTTGATCTGTTTTATTGCCTGCTGGACTTCAGAGGTTGATGTACTGGCAAGAGCTTCTGTTACTGGATGCTGCAAGATGGTTTCAATGGTTTCATTAGTCACCATTGATTCTGAGTTCGGAGCTTTGGTAGTGCACCTTCCAATTGTTTTTGATGGACTTATCTTTGAGAAGTGTGCTACCATCTTCAGACCTAAGTGGGGTAATATGCAGCCTTGATTACATTGAAGAAGCTCCATATGTCATGATTGTCAACAAATTGTTAGATTTCTTTCACTTTCTTTTCCCACTATTAATAGATTCATAGATTGTAAAGGGCTGGAAGGGACCGTACAAGATCATCAGGTCCAGCCTCTCTGTACTAGTCAGGAAAGACAACTGGGGTCAGCTAACCCCAGTGATGTGACCATCCAGTCTCCTCTTGAAGATTTCCAGCGTAGGTGATTGCACCACCTCTGGAGGGAGCTGATTCCAGTCTGGACACCCTAACAGTGAAGAAGTTTTTTCCTAGTGTTAAGTCTGAAACGGTCTTCCAGGTGTTTGTGGCCAACAGTTGTTCACTGAGCCCTTGATGTATTCCCCTGATATGGTGGTAAGCTGCTACCAAGTCCCCTCTCAGCCTTCTCTTTTTTAGGCTGAAGAGACCTAAGTCCCTCAGCCTTTCCTCATATGGCTTGCCTCGCAAGTCTCTGATCATACGGGTGGCTCTTCTCTGGACTCTGTCAAACTTTTCTACATCCTTGTTGAAGTGTGGTGCCCAGAACTGGACGCAGTACTCTAGCTGCGGTCTCACCAATGCTAAGTAAAGCAGAAGAATCACTTCCTTGGTTTTGCTTGAGATGCACTGGTTGATGCGTGCCAGAGTATTGTTTGCCCTGCTGGCAACAGCATCGCACTGATGGCTCATGTTCATACTATAGTCTGTTATTACCTGTAGGTCCCTTTAAGTTGTGGTGCTAGTCTGGCGCCACCGAACCGGTAAGTATATTGGGGATTGTTCCACCCCAGATGGAGCACTTTACACTTCTCAGTGTTGAACTTCATCTGGTTTCGTTCCACACAACTTGCCAGCCTGTCTAGTCCCGCCTGTATCTGCAGTCTATTTTCAAGTGTGACCATACTCCCCCGTAATTTGGTGCCATCCGCAAACTTGGCCAGTGAGCTCTTCACCCCCACATCCAAATCATTTATAAAGATGTTGAAAAGCACTGGACCAAGCACAGATCCCTGAGGGGCACCACTGGCCACTTCTTGCCAGGACGACACAGATCCGTTCATTAGAACTCTCTGGGTCCTACCCTGCAGCCAGCTTCCTACCCACCTACTTGTCAAGCAGTTGAGCCCACAATCCTCCATCTTCCCGTGAGAACATTATGGGATACTAGATCAAAGACCTTTTGGAAGCCTAGGTATACAATGTCGACCTCCTCCCTCTTATTTGTTTTTGATTTCTTGAATCTTCCTCTGGACTTCAGCTTTAAGCCATCAAAAAGTTCCCTGCTTCTGACTGGATGTAGGATGGCTTTGCCAGTCACAGAAAGCTTTTTCTCTTCTGATCGAAAAGGGCTTTGATCTCAGCATTATCTTCGTCAAACCAGTCCTGATGGCATTGGGTAATAAAACCAGTTGATTCCATGGAAGCCTTGTGGATGGTCTCCTTTTAGAGCTTGCCAATCGTCCTCAACACAAGTGTTACCATTTTCAATCCTAAGATTGGCAAGTATCTTGCTGAAATATGTTTGGAGGGCTTTGCGATGTCTAGGAGTCTGAAGGTATTTGATATTGTACTGTCTTTGGATTAATTTGGGTTGCTTTGTTTCATCGAACACGATTGATCTCACTAAACGATGATGGGTCCATCAGTCGTCGGCTCCTCTCATGACGTGTGATATGGACATCTTTTAGATCATGAGCTCTTTAAGATGATGTAGTAGAGGAGGTGCCATTGTTTTGAGTGGGGGTATTGCCATGTTGTTTTATACCTGTCACATTGTCTGAAGATAGTGTTAGTAATGACAAGGTCATGCTCTGCATATTTACTGAGTAAGAGGATGCTGTTGGAATTGAACTTTCCCACTCCTTCCTTCCCAATGGTGCCCCTCCACATGCTAAGGTCCTGGCCAACTCATTGAAGGTCCTGGCCAACTCATTGACTACGCATTGAAGTCTCCAAGAAGGATGATTTTATTTTCTTTGGGGATGATAGTCAAAATTTCAGCAAGGTCAGCATAAAACTGTTCTTTCTCAGCATAGTGTTGTGGCATATGCGCTGATGACAGTAGCAAATGAATTGTTGGTCAGTTGGAGGTACAGAATCATGAGGCGCTCATTAATGCCAACAGGGAATACACACCAGTGCCATGTATTCACATGTCAGTTCCAGGTTTCCTTTTCCATAAGAATGTATAGTCACCCCTCCGCCCCCCCATCTCCATCAGAATGGCCTTCGCCTGCATGTCTGGTCTTGCTGAGAGCAGCGATATTGATATATTGTATCACCAGAGTTGTTGGGCAACAATACGTGTTCTGCATTCAGATCTGTCACTGTTTAGGCCATCTAGTAGGGTCCTACATTCCAGGATGCAGAAGACATCTTTGTTTTGACTGCAATTTGAATGATCCCCCTGGAAGCAGCTATTTATTTGGGTAGGGTAGGATAAGATGGAATAGTCTATGTTTGGGGCACCTTTTCTAGCCCCCTCCCTGTGCGGGGTAAGCAAAGAGGATCCTAAAAATGACTGCTTGGTAGTAATCATAGCTGATGAATCACCCTTCTGTCCTATACCAAGGGTGAAGCGACCAACACAAAACTGCCACCTGTGTGTGGATCCATGACTAGGAACTCCTGGCAATCATTTTGTCTGTTCCTGTTGCCACTTTTCCATCGCTGCAGGACTTTGTAGAAGTTATGGGTATTGATGATTGGTTATTATGGTAGATATTGGATCCAGTGGGAGAAGCCTGCTAGTGATTTGTTTTACGAGAGGAGGCTGCTGTGCATCAGCAACCGCCCAGACCTTGACAGAGGAGAAATCTGTGTCCAGTGGCAAGGAGATCCAAGACGTCTGGGATTACTTTTCCACTGCAGCCTATATCTGCCTTCATGGCCATTGAGAAGTGTGCCTTCTGCATCTGCCTGCTCCACTGTTGAGGTCTTTATATTGGACTGCTCTTTGTCTGATGCATCACTTTTGACCTTACTGCCATGGGTGACCCTACCAGGAGTACAAGACTCCTAACTAAGTTGCTCTTGGGGTTATCAGTACATACAAGCCTCTTCACCCCATCAAGGTGGCAGTCCATGGAGAGGACTTGTTTCTGAAGTCCAGGCAACTGTGGAAGATCTACATTTTCACAGTAATAATCTGTTTAGTAGTGACACAAACACAAGATTATACTTCCTAAAAGATTTGAGTGATGTTTACTTTCTGGATCATATGCGGAAATAGCATCTGCAACACTTGTGCGCGCGTAGAGCAATTACCTTCAACAATGCCCTTTGTTAAAAACAGTTTCTTGCTTCGTGCTTCCGTTGAAGGTTCCTTAACCTTTTCCCCTGGCCATTCCACAAAAGGGGCATGTGGCAAGAAGACGGTTCTTCCAGGACTAGAGAGCCTGCACCCATGCAGGTTGTTTCATTTCAGAGAAGGTTGTGCTGAAGTGGCTCTGGGATAGTGAGTTATCAACATATGAGGAAAAAGGGCTATCCCATTCAGTTCTAAGCCATTCCTAGCTAATCTCATAGAAAAGCATGGGTCACTCCTTTCAGGAAGTCTTCTACAGCAATTGAGACAATGTTATGAACAGCTGTGCCAGAAGATGAATTGCTGTAACTAGAGTTGGATGCAGTCTAATCAAGTTAAGGCATAGTTTGGACTAAAAGCAGCAAATAATTTGCTGTATGTAGAATTATCATGGAGAGAAGTGAAACGTATTGTGTCCTTTCTATCTCAGTTGGAGTCCATCCAGTGGCAGTCACAGACTTGGCTCTGGTACAGACATATCCACTAAAAAAAAATTCTGAAAGGAGCTTTCTAGCAGCATAAATCTTTCTGGGATTCCGGGGAGGGATGAAAACTTAGTGTTGGCTACATTCTTCTACTATCGCCTTTCAAAGAGGGCACCCTTTCTAGTGGTCTGCACTTTCATGAGAAGGGTAGGGAAGTTCCAGGTCCTCCTGATAGACCTTCAGTCCTGTGTTTCATAAGTACAGGGCTGCTTGTCGATTTTTGTCTGATCACAGGAAATTAGGGTTGCAGCAACCTTGGAAGGTTATCTAGACCAACCCCCTGTTCAAAGCAGGACCATAGATATATATTCTATATATTCTTCACTGTAACCCCCAGGTCCTTTTTCTGCAGGGCTGCAGTTTAGCCTATAGTGCTGCATGGGATCATCCCATCCTAAATGCAGGACTTTGTACTTGTCCTTATTGAACCTCATGAAATTTCTTTTGGTCCAGTCCTCTAATTTTGTTGAGGTCTCTCTGAATCGTACCCCTCAGCCTATCTACTGCTCTTCCTACCTACAGACTAGCTGAGGGTGCACTCCATTCTATCTTCCAGGTCGTTGATAAAGGTATTGAACAAAACTGGCCCCAGGACCAACCCTGGAGCACTCCACTTGATGCTGGCTGCCAACTAGACATTGAGCCATTGATTACCACCCTTTTTGAGCCTGACCACCCAGCCGGTTTTTTAGCCACCTTACAGTCCATTCATCCAACCCGTTCTTCCTTAGGTTGCTGGTGAGATTGTTATGGGAGACTATCAAAAACCTTGCTAAAGTCAAGGTACGTCATGTCCACTGCTCTCCCTGCATCCATGGAACCAGTCATCTTTATCATAGAAGGCAGTCAGGTTGTCAGCCATGACTTGCCCTTTGTGAATCCATGCTGACGGTTCTTAGTCACTTTCTTCTCCTCCAAGTGCTTAGAAATGGATTCCTTGAGGATCTGCTTCGTGATTTTTCCAGGGTCTGAGGTGAGCCTGACTGATCTGTAGTTCCCTGGATGGTCTTGTCTAAGGTAGTTGAAAACTGAGATGTTGTTCTTTTTAGCTTCAAGTCTTTTTCCACTAAATCTTTCTTTACCAGCTGAAGCAAAACTTTGCTGTCCTTTAATCTGGACAGGATTTGATTGATTGATCGGCACCTCCCTGAGACTTTCACACTTGAGACCAATGGTATCATCATAGAGACATGTGCATCCTGAACCCAAATGGCTTCTCCTTCCTCTTGAATAAAGCTTTATGACTAAGAGGTGTGGAGCTGTTGCAGTGGAGTTCAGTTCATACTTTTACTACTCAGTATTTTTTGATGCAGGCCTCTACTTCAGAGCAGGTTTTAGGGCAGTCCTTCAGCTCATATTTATAAATAACTCTCTCGTTCATATCTGTGAGTAGAATATAAATAAACAATTCCTGAAAGAAAAGTTACTTAACAGTAACTGACTCTTCCAGATGATTTCACAATCCATCCTCCATACCCATTGATGTGCAGTCCTGACATGGGATTCGTCATTGGTAAAGAAGCTAAGGGGCAGCTGTGAGCGTCCTGTTCCTTTTTATAACCTCGATCACAGGGCTTGCACACTGCAAGGCTGCAGACCTGGCCCTTGACAGATAACACTTTTCTGAAGAAAGGAGTGATGGAGTCTATATGAACTATGTACCTCAAATAATGTAAGGCAATAGTTCTTTGTCATTGCAAGATGCTAGTTCTGTATAATCTTTGAATGACATAATGTCTTCGGGATATGTCTTACAGTTTATCTACATTAGGAAATGATAGTCTTTAAACAGCTATACCAGTAGAACTTCTCATGCAGATAACATTCTTACAGCAGACTGTGGGTGGGTTGGTTTGTTTTTCATGTTTAGCTCGCATGTCACTTTAGAAGCAGTTTAAAATGAGGGAAGCCTGTCTCTTCTTAGTAAGAGTTACTAATATAGCTAAATTGCTGTAGCTACAGCTGAATAACTGAAAGAGTTTCCCATAACTCAGTGGAAGAGTAATTGCTACAGAAAAATAGAGGATCAGACATACTAGTGGAATTTTTAAGGTTGAAATTTGCATTGAAAAATATAAGAATCTTCATGAGGTCATACAGTAAGCTACAGAACTTCAAAAATTGTTTGGTGTTTTACAGAAACTTGGCTCTTTGAACAATGAGCCAGCTCTGCCTTCTACAAGCTATTTGCCTGCTACCCCCAGTGTGGTGCCATCCTCTTCCTATATCCCAAGCTCAGAAACACAGCCAGGTAAAACTTTTTTTTTTCTTGCTGCTGGGCATTTTTGCTACGTTTGGTTTGCTTGTACATTTTTATTGCCTAGCATTACAAATGCAGGACTGAAACTTTCTTGCCATAAGTAATCCCACTGATTTCCACAGGACTATTTGTGTGATTTAAGAGTTGTCAAAATGGGTCCTTGGGTTCTTTTTCAATTGCCTGACTCACCATTCTACACACCTTTTATAAAAGAAGGAAAATGCTCTTTCCTTGTGTTTATTAAATTGCTGTTGGTTACAGGGCTGACTGAAGGCTAAGCAGCTTCAGGTTTTAACTCTTAAATAGTTCATTTGCTTGGTTTTTTAATAGAAAATCTGATTGTAAAACATCAGTAATGTGGGTAGATTCTGAAATTTGCCTTGTGGGACTGGTATAGGGGGGTGTCCATCTCCATTTTAAAGTGTTAATTGTAGTGAAGACTTCCTACTTTAATACAGTCCGTGGTTGAACACTTTCCACTCTCTGTCTTCCCCTTGTTTTTTATAAAGGTTCCTAGGAATAGCTTAAATGGCTAAATATTTAAAAAAGTTAAACTAAATTACATTCAATAATAGAGGATGGTCAAGAATGAAAGGACAGAATATTTTGGATCAAAGCATTTTAAAAAAATGGTCTTTTTCCACCTTTCCACTTATCTAGATTTTTAATTGGACTGCAGCGTTGTTGCGGTAGAGACCTATCGTGTTGTATGTCTGTAAGATGCCTTAACATACATAAATAATAGGCCTTTGTTATTAAAGCACTTTGGGATGCTTCAGTCGACACGAATTGATGTAACCATATGAAAGCTATAACTGCTCATGCAGACTTGTCATTGTAGCAGTGCTTACTTTTCAGTATGTGAGCTATGGCTTGCTGTTCACCACTGACAGAGGCATATGCATAGCATACATGTGCGTGGCTCAGAAGCAAAGCTCCACGTTTCTCTGAATAAACCTCCCTCTGGTTGAAACTTGGCAGCTCTGGAAAGACCCTGGTCAAAGAGCATCAGCATTAACAGGCCCTAGTGCTAGTTTTTAGGGTATAGGCATTATGTTGAATTGTAGAAAAATCAACATGTATATTTCTGAGCCTTGTATTTGTCTCATGTTTCCTCACTACACTTTCCTTCCATCTCCTCTTTATAACCAACAAATATAAAGTTGCTTTAATAGATGCTGTATAAAGAGAGCATTGGCTTAATATAATTTTGGAGGAGCTGTGCTCTCTTTCTAAGGATCTTAACACTTCTTAGCTGAGAGAGAGATGTTAAAAGTCTAGGTTTTTGTCTGTTCTACAGATTTGAAATTTTGACACAGGTTAAATGATTTGCCTGAGATCACTAGAGTTAATGCCAGAGCCACATGTGGAACCCAGGAATCACAGTTCCCTTGCTGTCCTTTCATCCGGAGACCACTCTCTCCATAGTCTGTATATAACAAACTTTCCCACCTCATAAAATACATACATCGCTGTGCCATAAAGGCTGTGTTCTCCAGAGCCTGTAGCCAACTAACTCCATTAGTTGGTTAACCTCATTTTTAGAGGGTTTAATAGCACTCTCTTTCTAAAAATTGTACAGTTTTGCTTAAAATGAGAGGCCCAGGATTACGAGCCTCCAGCAGTGTTCTTGCATCAATAACTTGTTTCATTTGCATTTATTCTTTCGTTCTACTTCGGATGGAAAAATATTGAAAATGGTGTATCCAGTTTTGAATGGACTGTAGCCCACAGTCAGTGTGAACAGGGCCAAAAACAAATTATAGCATCATAAGGGCAGAGAGGCATAGGAGAACTGAATTTTTATTTAAGTGGGCAAATTTTTTGTGCGTTTTGGCTGCTTATTTCTTCGCATTTTAGCCTTGCACATAATTAATGGACAGTCAGTTGTACAAGATGCATGCAGTCCATTCACCACTTGATTACTCTCTTCTGCCTCTCTCCATGCTCTAGTTCAGCAGTCTGCAACCTACAGCCTGCAGGCTGGATCCAGCCCATGAAAATCCAAACCCTACCTGTAGTGGCACAGGGGGTCCGTGGCATGCAGCTTGGCCCACTGCATCCCCTTTCTCTGCACTGCACCGCAGCATGTTGCTGATGCCCTCTTCAGTTCTCCATGATGCTTTCTGGCCCTCTATACTGCTAGACTTGCCCCCTCTACTCCACTGCCATTAGGAGCGTGCATTAGCAGTGTATGGCACAGTCAGCAGCAGGTATCTTGGGCACTGCAGGGGTAGTGGTAGCCTGTGCTCTAAAAAGTTGCCCAGACATACTTGATTTGATCTAAAATTTCTTGAAAGCCTCTGATTGTGTGTGCCTGCCTCTTTGCCCATTTGCGGTATATTTCTTCTTGACCGTTCCTCCCTTTCATTTACTTGTTATGGTTTTTCAGGCTCTGTGCACGTGTGGCTTTTTAAGGGTTTTTAAAAATATTTTGCATTATGTTGGCTATTGGCAAATCCTTCAATCCTTGTTGCAAAAACGCATACTAATGCGCTTCTTGCTGAAACTCCCAACTCGCATATGTAGATTCTGCCTGCCGATATTTTCAGATATTTGCTTGAGTGGTCCCTGTCCAGTTTCATTTGGATACTCAGATCCCTCATTTTTTGCCCTAACTTGCTTTTAATGTTGCTTATTATTATATGGTGGTAAACTTTTTGAAAATGCCTAGATCACTTAAGAATCGGTAGGATTTAGGCTTTTCAAGTCATTTGCCTGTTTTATAATATTTAACCGTCTTTGCTTAACCAAGACTCAAATGCATGTCATAGCAGGCTCAGGGATTGTGAAACCTTTTGGGAGGCATGAAGACAACCATGTGTCAAAAGCTGTTACTGAATGTGGCCAGCTAGTTGCCTTTTGTCTGTGTGGGACTTTCCCTGGATTGTAACTTTTTGAGACTAGGTTTGGAATAGGCTCCAAATCTGATTTGGGAGATTTATTTTACTAATGGTTTCTGCTTGGGGAGAAAATTGAAATCTCATTGGCGAGGCCAACTCCTGGTAAGAGAACTCCTTCTCATTTTAAGTCCGCATTTAAACAACAAATGATCTGGGGACTAGTTTTGAATTCTGCAATTCCTGTTACATAAGTTATTCTGTTCATGTCCTTATCTGCACTAATGGGCTGAGAACTGGGTGAAGTAGAGGCGTTCAAGAAGCCCATGGTGGAAGCACTCTAACTTTTCAACCTTTACTTAAAGTGCCTCCATTTAGGTCAGGAGGAAGCAGAACGCATGTGGTGGGGGCCTCGGAGCCTCCCTGCGCAGCCTGAGTGCAGCGTGTAGGGGAGCTCTTGCATGTCTCGCAGCATGCCCCACCAGCTCCCTGGGCTGCCAAAGACTCCCAAGCAGAGCTGAACACCCAAGCCACCCCCCGATGGGCCCACAGTCATGGGAGGGAGGTTGGGGGTTGCCCTGAGGGGTCAGTACAGTGAGTGCCTATGCTGTGAGAACTGGAATCAGCTGGCACCCATTGGACTTCACCCAAGGTTTGGATCAGAGGAGATTGGGGCGGGGGGGAGGAGGAGAGTGCTGTTGGACTGCTTACCAGCATGTCCACACGTGGAGCCCAGGGGTTGCCCTGGCAGTAAGAGCTGAGTGGCTGAGATAACGGTTCCCATGCAGGAATCCTTCCATCACATGTATCCCTTTCCGGCTCAGAGGGAGGGAGGCTTGGGGGCTTTTTGGAAAGGGGATGTCTCTTCTTATTCCTGTTGCACCACAGATGTTATTGGCTTCTTTTTCCTGCTGCACCACAGATGTTATTGATGCCTTTCTGTGAGTGTCTTGGGGGAGCGGGCAGCTGTTTACACACAAGTGCTCAGGGTATCTGTGCTCGAATCTCCCATGGAGTGCACCATGGCCCTGATGGAAATGGCAAGGACATGTCAAGTGCACAGATTTATGATCCCATTGAATGGGACATGCTGTCTTAAGTGCCCAAGAGCAGGGGGTGGGGAAGAGGATTTGGTGTCTTGGCTGGGCTCCAGGTTTCAGCAGGGGAGTGTGGCAGTGTGGGGAAAGTGAGCAATTCACCTTCCCCCTATGCTGCGACATTTCTACCCACGTCTGCTCCAGCCTCAACCCCTTTGTGGGCTTCTCAGCCATCATGGCCTGAGAGGGCTGTGACCACTGGGGATGGTCTGTGGTGGCCTACGGCCCCTTCCTTCTCCCCCCTTTTCCCCCCCCCACCCCTGGGGCTTCGCGTTTCCCCTGGGACCTGAGTCCACATCAGGCTTGTGTGGAGTTGGGTCAAACGTTACTATCGTGGGTTGCACGACATCCTCACGAAGGGTTTGACTCGTGAGAAGTGTTGGAAGAACTGGCCATGGGGCCTGTGGCTTCTGCCAGTGCACTGGTATGGGGGGCTGGTACATGCTCCATGCCTCTAAGAGGGGCACAGAGACGTGTGAGAGGACTTGCTCTGGAACAGCTGCAGTCCCTATTCAGGATAACACGTTGCAGGGCCCCCGCTACTGCCGCCTCCAGGGGATTCCCTGTGGGCAATTCCTCTGAAATACCCCTGGTCTTGTGGGCATGGGAAGTGCCATCTGTCCTGCTCTGGGCAAGGATATGGGAGAGGTCCTTGAAGAACGACATGGTCTGCCCCCTGCTACAGCCTGCTTTCTAGAATCAAGTATGCGGTAATGCCTCCTCACTAATGTCGTTTTGGTGAGGCACTGCTCTGTCTGGTGTGACCCCTTGCCTGAATCTGCTGGGTGATGCACTTGAAGACATCTCTGATTTAATGCTCTATCTGAAGCTGGCACTGGATGTGTTTCTCGCCCCAGATGGCGATGAGATCCTTTATTTCCCCATAGTACCAGTTCTGTGCCTGGGTTTGGCTGGTGGCAGTAGGTGGTCTGGGTTTGTCTATGGCCTGCGGTGGTGCCTGTTGAGGTTTCTGTATCTGGGGGTGAGTGGTGGTCTGGCTGTGAAGGGGGTGGATGGCAGGCTGTAAGGGCGGATGGATAGAAGCAGCAGTGGA